GTCGTTCGTACGTAACTCCCCCGGCATTAGCTCTGGCTCCTCCTGTGAACGGCTCGTTTAGCCCGAGCCGGGGACCTGTAGTGAAACCCACTGGGGACTCGGCGCAAGTAGCGCGCGACCAGAAGCGCCGTGAGTAGTTCTGCCTCGAGCCCTTGGCGCGCGGCGCAGCGCGCAAGGCCCTGAAAGCCTTCCAACCTAAACACGCAAGTCCTAGACTTAAAACTATGTGACATGCTATTTGTATGCAAATAACTTTGTGAATGCAGAGGTCCAAAAATATCATTTTAAAGTCAACTGTAATTAAGTTTGCAATGTATTTCCCAGCTCTCGCAGCTCTGGGGATCCCACCATTAACATAAAGATGAATGCCTGGATGACATTTCTCCCCCTTCCATGGTTTCATTGGTGATTTATTTATCTATTCAGGTTGTGTTTTGTTGTCTCAGCAGTCTCTGTTGTTCAGGAGCAGCAAACACTAGGAGTCCATTTAAAAAAAAAAAAACTCTTGTCTCATTTCGGTAATTTATTATGCAGTGATTTTGTGTTTTTCATAATTGATTAGAACCTGTAATTTCATTTTTTAAATACATGGACCTAATAGCTCACGTAATGAAACTCTAACAAGCCTGAAGATGAGCCATTAATGAAACAGCAGTTTTATGATTCTCCACCAATATATTGTAATAGTGAATCGCTTATAAAGCTGTCCTGCGCTGATTTATGAAGAAACTTGTTTGTGATATGGAGATAGCAGCAGTGGTGCCTGGGACTAAATTAGCATTTCCTGACAGTCATTAAACAACGGGAATCATAATCAGGATTTATGGAGCTGGAAGCAGAGGACTGGGAAAGGCCAATTAAGCCACGTCGGTGTTTGGGTACCTCTGTAAAACAACCCTATTAATTTATGCTAATTAGTTTATTCTCTTTCAAATGAGAAGACTGCCCAAGAGCGAATGAGCATCGCACAGGGTGGCAGTGATACCGCAGTAGGGCGATGCGGCCCCCGTCCCGCGGGCGCCGGCGGGCAGAGGACCGCGGCTGCGCCG